TACCGGCCACCTGAATCCACAAATATCACACATACTTGAGTTGTGTGACGACACCTCACCCGATGCCACCGCCTCGTCCGAGCTCACCGACGCCTACTACTTTAAGCCTCATCATAACTACATATATAAGGTATTGTCACGCGAATTCGGGCCCGAAATCTTGCAATGTTACACTTCGATACAAATTCCAAGAGTGCCCAACTCGAGGTACAACCGCTGTTGTAACACGAATGCGTGTTATGGGTGTTAAATCGCGTGTTAGGTTGCAATTCGGGTCAGAAAGTCGTCTCTGTTTGCTTTTAATTATATTATATCGGCACTGTTATTGCGTTATAACTCTCACACGCGAAGCGTGTCCACGAGCGCAGCGAGTGCCGCGAGGCGCAGCCGAGCCTGCACGCGCAGCGTGCCCATGAGCGCAGCGAATGTCGCGAGGCGCAGCCGAGCCTGCACGCGCAGCGTTCCCATGAGCACCAGCGCGCCGACGACCAATGACGGGCAGCACCGGCAGCGCGCGGCCTTCAGCATGCGCAGCGTGCACGAGCGCAGCGTGCCCATGAGCACCAATGCGCCGGCGCCAATGACCTGCAGCGCGCTAACAACCGACGAATGACAGCGCAACGACGACCGACGACTGGCAGCGCGCCAACAACCGACGGCCAGCAGTGTGCTAACGACCGACGACTGGCATCGCGCTAACGACCGACGACGACCAGCGCGACGACGACTCTAAGGGCGCCGACGACAACCAGCAGCTTGAATCAGCGAGGTACAAGATATTGAGCAGGATATTGTTTTTTCAAGACGAACTGCTGCATTTGACACTTAATAATACAGAACGGTTCCACGACCACGGCCAACCGTCGTTGGGCATCGCAGTCAAGTCTGCGAGGCAGAGGACGCCTTCTTCCGATCTGGCTCGTACGGCGTGCACGCCGAAGCGTTGTCCTCGTGGTGGAGGCACCCGTTGCGGGGGTGAGGCGAAAAGCGGGCGCCGCGAAAGTGTGGCTTGATCCGGTTGCAGGGTTGCCGCACCGGTGTCCGGCGGGTGCGGTAGCGCGCATGCACATGACGCACCAATTGTGCATCGAACGCGAACTCCATGAGAAGCACGCGTGCTTCGATGCTGCTGGGGCAGATGCTACGAAAGCGCTGCTTCGAAAGGCACATTGTTGGATGAAAATCTGTGTGCTGGCGCTTGGCAGGCATTGCCTGGCGTTGCTGCGAGATCACAGACGAAGTCGTTTCGCTGCTGCCATCGCCGCATCGAAGCGCCGGTGTCGAAGCGCGAGATGACCGGGACGCTGCTACCGTCGTCGATGCCGAGCGTCGGTGTCGAAGCGCGAGACGACCGGGACGCTGCTACCGTCGATTAAGCCGAGCGTCGGTGTCGAAGCGCGAGACGACCGGGACGCTGCTACCGTCGTCGATGTTTGTCTGGAATCTGCCTGCTCCTCCTAAGAACTCTTTTTCTGCTCTCCACCAACACGTTGAAACGCCCAAAACAAGGTAAATGGTGAATCAACTGCCAGGATCTTCGAGCCAACCACAGCGTTGCGCAAGAACGTCTCCGAGAGATCTGCCTAGGGTTGCAGCATTTACTAGTAGTTGATACGATTCGGAGCGAACGTCCAGAGAGTATCCCTCGTCCGGGGCCTAGTGGCGCATTGTAGGAAATTATCTAGAGCTGCTCACTATGGCGTTCGAGTGCATTGCACTTCGATTTGGGCGAGGCCCGGGCCCTCGCGGTTGTCGCCGTAGTCGTCTCTGTGATGTGCTGGTACCAACGTTGCCAAAGCAGAAGCGGGGACTTCTTCTATTTCTTCTTCGTCGGAGGCGCAAATAGTACGTCATCGGCAGTCGAGATGGCCACGTCTTCAGTCTTCAGCCGCAAGCGGCTCGCTTTCGAAATTCCTGCTTGGATTGATCTATAGTGAGCTCGGTTGAGCTTCTCACTTGATGCTGACTACCCAAGCGATGTGCCTCTTCCAAATGATGCACGCCCTGCGCCACGACGCCTGGCTTCGTGGTGATCACTTCGTCCCGTCTTGCGCCATAGCAAGAGATAGGGGAGAAGCACTCGGATACAACTTGCAAGTCTAAAAAGTGACAAGCTTTCACTATCCAAGTCCCAACTTGAGACAGGGCTGAAGAACTC